TTGGATCACTGTATCCTACATGAAAAACTAGAAAAAAAAAAACAAACAAACAAAACAAACAAACAAACAAAACAAAACAAACAAACAAACAAGAAAAATAAGTTATCCATTCATTCTTTTTATTTTTATTTGCAAACTTATCATTCTAAGTTTCAGATAGCTCTTATTTGTGTCTGAATAAGTCTTATCAACAAATCCAAAAATAGCCATAAAGACATAAGTATTTTTCTTTTTTTAAAAAAAATTTAGCAGGAACCAATATAAAAATAAAATGATATAAATACTCTTATTTCTAAATGTCAGCCAATCTAATCTGCACAAATGTCTAAAGATTGAAAATTTACTAAAATAAAAATAAAAAATATTAATTTATATATTTGCATGAATAAATTCCACTCCAAATTCTGACAAATGTATTTCAAAAACGTAATCATGTTTTACCGAGATTCAAATAATAATTAATCAATGTGAATTAAAGCAGTTATTTTTTATTTTATTTTATTTTTATTGAATTTCAACATTGATTTCAAACACTACCTTAGCTTTATCTCCTGTACTGTACATATATCTGTATGTTTCTATGTAGGTACATGTACACACAACAAATATAGATGGAGAGAGAACACCATTGACATTTTTTAAATGGATTTTAGTTTATTCTGTTTTTATGATTATTTTTAAATAATTTGAATTTATCATTATGGAATTTCGTACATCTAAATCAATCAATTAAAGTATTTTTCTTCAAATCAGTGGAGACATACATTGGTAGTTAAATATAACAACAGTGGTTAAATTGCATTGTATTAGGTTACAAGTATTTGGCAAACAAACAAACATAGCACAAAGAGATATCATTTGGAAAATGAACCCAAAAAGTAATTGATGCTTTTAAAATGTGTATCCTTTGGTTGTTAAATTTAAATCTATCATCATGATCAAAATATTTAATATGTATTAAGCTTGTATCATTAATACATTCAATTTATAATAGTAATATGACATTGGTTTGAGTTTTCTAGTGCCATTTGATTTGTAACAAATCACCATACATGTGTAAACTAATATATATATATATATATATATATATACAAATGCATGACCTATATTTTTATGCATGTTCAATATTATAAATATACACGAATTTATTTTCAAAAAATGAAACAAGAGAATATTTTTATTAATAAAAACACCACTCCCAAAGTTTTTAATATTTCTATTAATTAATTTAGAACACCTTTTTACTTTTGATTTGTATTAGGGTTTGATGCAGGTGTTGAGCAAGGGTTGTACTTATGAGCATAGTTTTATCAGGGTAATAATATTGAAATTTGCAGTTTTGCAGTACAGTTCTCTTATTTCCTACTTCTTCTTCTTCTCCTTCTTCTTTCCTTGTTATATACATTGGAGCTGATGTTGCTCTTGAATAACCCCCTTTTTCTTTTTAAACAATAGAGCATTGCAACAATTATAACCATACATGTACACAAAAAATCTCAAATTTTCCATGTGTATGTTTGAACTTCTGAGATTATCTTCTTAAATGATATCCATTATTATCTAATTGGCTATGTTGCTAGTATTATTGTTATTATTATGTGAGAAAGTGTAAACATGTGATTTTCAAAGAATTTGATAATTCATTTAAATTTAATGACGCACATCACAGTCTATTATTAAGTCTACTTTTTTATGTGGGATGTTCTTTTTACAATGAAACCTTTCATTTGTAGCTCATAAGGACACACTCACAAATTGAACCTTCCTAGATCATTTCAAGTAATGTTTTTTTTAATCTTTTTTTCTTTTCTGTTTACACCTGTGATATATACAAAGACGACTTTTCAATAAAAATATAATGAATTTGAATGTGACTTTGTTAATGTAAAGCATAGTGTGAAATTTTAAAGCCTAAATTACAAATTACATCGAAATGTAGGAGGAGGGAGGGGGTTGACTAAGGGAGTGGGAACATCAAAGTAGTGCTTTAACCCATTGCTTCTTCGCGAAATAAAGTTAAAGTGAAACCCTGCTCAACTCAAACAGGTCTATGAAATCACGTGATGACACCTACACGTGAAGAGCCAGGTGTACCCATCATTCCAAGTGGCATCGATCGGTGCGCCCAAGTGGAACCAACGTTGAACACGACAGCAGGGGATTCTCTGGTGTCGAATGAGAATCATTTCGAGGAAATTCTCTCGATCTACTGCCTATTGTCATTCATTCTCGAATGTTCCATTGTGCGCGGTCACGGGCGCTGGTAGGATAACAGTTTCTTATGAGCGGTGATAGGCGTCACTTTTGGTGGTTGATCCGTATCGTAGTTTCTCCAGGTAGGCAAAGATTTCTCCAACATTCATCTCTTTTTCAGCATTCATTTCCTTTTGAACCGAGAGAGTGTTAACAGAAATTAATACATGTACACGTTTGTTTTTATAAGTTTTATATTTTTTAAAAGTTGCGTTAAAAGCAACTTGCAACTTGAAACTTAGACCACACACTCTGTAGTCCCTAAGAAGCTTCCATAAAACCTTAATAGCTAGTATTTATAGATGCAATATTGAGATCATCTTCATCTCTTGTCAAAACCTTTTTTTGTGTTTCAATTTTAATTTATGACTCTTTAGATTCTGTATCATTTATAATATCTATTGTAGTTTTTTTCTATTTTACATCTACCTCTTATTTTTCTATTTTCTCTTTATTAGTGATATAAGGGTGTGTTAGTTTCTTAAAATTCTATTGTGGTTCATGCATTTAGCAATAATATTATTACTAATTTCATTCATGTGTAGGTTTATTATATTGATAGACAATTGTAATGGTTTACAAATAAGTAATATAGAAAAAACAAACAAAAAATCTATTCATTTATTAGTGTCTTCAATCTTAACATTTAACAAAAAAACCAAAATTGAAGAGAATAAATAAAACTATGCATATACGTATATATATATATATATACACATAACAGTTAATTAATGTAATTGATTTTGTAGTAGTTGTAGGATTCAAATTCAAATCCTGGTAGAATATATCAAAGATCACCTGACCAAGCTGCCATATTGAGACGTCTGCATCATTTCATTATTTCAATACAAATCATATATGTCATTTATATTTAACAAACATGTGTTTTTAGCACCATAATAAAGTAGATTGAAATACAATAAAATAAAATAAAAATACATACCAAATAATGCATGAATGCATTGCTGTCATTATGCCATTAAAACCCAAATTCAACCATAGAAGGATTCATTATTACAAGTTTCAAATAATTATAGTTTTTGATAATAATAATAAAAATAAACCTATGGGCTATTGTATGCATTTGAATCAATAGATTATTATTATTATTATTATTATCTACCATCTAGTGAATGAAATGGATTTAAGTATCAAAACATAAAAAATAAAAAATAAAAAACTTGTTTATTTTTTTTATAAATAATACAATTTATTTTAAATTTAATGAACAACCTTTAGCACTTGTTATTCTAAAATAACGCTGAAATTGGTATTCACAGTTATTTAGAATGTATATATATATATATATATAATTAAAATCATGAATATTTTTAACAACACATTTTTGTTTCTATTTGTAAAATTTTGATCTTATAATACATGTTTTGAATATATTAAATTCCTCAATATGTGAAAATGTATTTCAAAAAATGATTTATTAAAAAGCAATTTAGTAATTTCGGAAAAAAAAACCATGTTTTTTTGTATATTCAAATACTAATCTTGTATTTTGAAACCTCAATTGCTATTGTTGAAACAGACAACATTCCATTAAACCATATCATAGCCAACTGATATAACAAACATAGCTTGAAGACTACGTTAATATTCATAAAATGTTATAATTTTATATTAATACCTGTTCCTCACGAATTTATTAACTTTAGTGTGGTCTTTTTATTTGATTTTTTCTTTATAAACCTTTCATGCAACACAATTACACATGAGATTTGAACACAAAATTCACTACTAAGATTAAAAAAATCACAAAATTCCAACACTTTTTGGGTGAACTTAACATGAAACCTCCTCTTCTGTATGTACAACAGATACATAATTTTATTTATAATATTCTGTTTTTCAGAAATTGCAGCTGGTTAAAAAAAAGCTCACTGTTAAATACGAACTATTTGCTGGTAATTGTCAATCAAGATCTAAATCAGTGCTTAGAACGTTGCAAGGACGGTGGGAAAAGGGTGATAGCTTTGATGTCAAAAGATGGGTCATTCATTCACTGTGACCCAAAAATATTGAACAATGGGAGATATGCATTTCTGTTCCCCATGAGTTGTCATCTGTTATCATGGGTTCCCAAAATTGGGAACCCACTTGGGTGTGGAATCTGTCAAAGGCACCACCAATGGAGTCAATGCAGCTCATGAATGGCAAGCATGGCATGTCGTCTGCACAGAGGGCAGTTCCCATGATCACCACAAATGGGGCAGTTTCTATTCAAGCCGTAGCATTCCGCCACGAAAAGAATGATGCAAAATAAAACCCAAAAACCCTAAAAAGCAAACGAAAACAAAACAAACTACTAGCAACAACAAGCATTTATCACACAAGTAGAAGAAGAGAAAATTCACAAGCAGGCAAAAGGAAGGAGGGAAGCAAAAGAAGCCCACTAACGGCGATCACTGGCACTGCCACGCTGTCACTGTCTTGAGACGCATTCAATCCGAATGGGCCACTTGGGAACATTTCGCAGTCGCTTCCAACCAAAACGCTCCAGGTAGGATGCGATGGGGGCGGGAGCGGGGAGCGACTGGGGGTCGCAGATCTGGCTGGAGTGGGTGAATGGCACGATTTTAGGGCTGCAGGAGAGCCAGCCACCGCAAGCAGTGTTGCAGCGTGTTGAGCCATGGGCAGGTCGAAAGCAAGCACGCAGTGTCGAGGGACCATCGAGAAGGGAGGAAGGGCCTGGCGCCGCGATCATGGACGACGTCGCTGCTGCTGCCCACGGAAAACCAAGAATAGTAATATAACTTAATAATAAGAATAATAATACAAAGTATTGGTTTCCTATGCTTGCTGATTCCTGGAGGGGGAGATGTGCTGGCATACGTCTGCTCGTTAGCCTCCGACGTGGTGCCTGTATCCGCTTCTCGACCGAGGTCTGGATGTTGTTCTTGCTCATTTCAGCAGTTGAGCCAGCGTGGGTTCCTTGCTGCTGCTGCTCTAGAATCGCGTTCGTTCGTGCCTCGATTTGAAGGTGAGAAAGTGGACATTGAGTGTGTGAGTGAGTGAGTGAGCGAGCGAGAGCGAGATGATTAGTTGGTTGGTTGTAGGAATGGATACCTGTCACCAGGCTTGGTTTGGAGGTTTGGAGTGTCTGTGGCGAGTTGTGTGGACGAGGGTGGAGTAGGCGTTTTGTGTGTTCGATTTTGGTCAAGGACGGGGCAGTGCGGGAGAATTGGTGGACGTGTTTCGATTCGATCGAGAGGTTTTCAGATTTGTGGTAAGGAGATTTTGCTGGTAGTTTTGGAAGTGTTCCGTGGTTTGACTCAGTCTTGAAAGAAGTTTTTAGACGAGGAGGTTTGATTTAGACTCGATTGACCTAGTACTGATGCTTGGAGGGCGGAGGCGTTGTCTGGATGCGTGCCGAGCCAAACCGTTGTCATGTAAGCGGCACTCTGGCGTTCATGTTTATTTTTTTATTTTTATCTTCGTCTCACTTATCGGATTTCATGGAGGAGGTTCAGTCTGGAGGTTAGTGTCGTGGATTGATGCTTTTCGGCCAAGAAAATGTTGTATTTCGGACCGCAGACCTTTTCTCATGGACCAATTCTTCCCTTGCTGCTCTATCATTAGATGAGTGTTTCGTTCGGAAGATGTGTTCGAGCAACACTTTTGTTTAGTGTGTACGGTTTGACTGGTAGAAGTAGCTTGCCTTTTTAACGAGGATTACGTAGCAAGCAGTGCTTCCTTGAAACCTTTCTGTCGATTGTAAGCTTGTCAAAGCAAATATAGACTTCCCTTCTTCTGTGCATTGAGTAAACCCCGTTTTGTATTTCAGTTTCCGATGTAGATTTAAGCAACTCGTGGAGGACTAGCAGTGGTGCAAAATTGTGTTGCGAGTAATAGTCATTGGGTTTGCAGGTGGACTGAATCCTGGATTTCGGTGTAATGGCTGTGATTGCATAAAGTACAGCAGGGATGAAATGTTGGAGGCTGTAGTATGCAATATTTTATACAAATGTGAGCCGTTTAGCTGCATTGAAGTAGTGACTGAAAATGACCAGCGGAGCCAACAAATGTTTGTGATGTGTAACGTGTGTTGAGCACTTAAAAGTCATATTTGAGAATCTTTCGTACGTCAGCGTAAAAAAACCCTTTTGATGTACGAACAGAGTCGAAATTTCCAGCGAATTGATTAGAGCTTGAGTGGCAGTTCTAATACATATATACTCGCGTTTTTCATTTTTCACTTGCTCAACTGTCTAGGGTTTTCACAGATTAGCTAATCTATTAGTAATTAGTGCCAGAGATAGCCCAATCTCCAATCGATTAGCTTTTTTGATCTCTTAAACGGGATATCAACCACCCTAAGCTCTCAGTTGTACAATCTTGATACTGAAGAGCTTGAAATTCGTGGACCGTCAGACCTTCCGTCGTTCAAGTTCAGAAACTGTATGGGTAGAGAAGTATATCACTTTAATGGCAGCCGTTGAATTTGAGCTTGTGGTTTGATGAACATATGATTTTCTGAAACCAGTGAAGTTTTGTTTGAGTTGTGAATCCTGTGAAGTTGGTTTGTTTGTAATTCACTTTTGCAGTCTGGAGATCTGGGGTGAGGTCTGCAGTGTTTATTGCATCTAGGTCGTGGATTAAGGACTAAGCATCTTTCACAAGTAACTACCGTCTAATACATGTTGCTATTACGTCTGTTGTATTAGTGCGTTGCTTTCGAATCAACTGATGAATCGGTAGAAGAAGGTTTGTGTGAAGAGTAGCGAGCATACCGTGCACTGTGTGTGAGTTCTACTGATCTGGCGGTCATGGAATGAAATAAATGAATTTAGTATTGTCTGAACTTTTTTCACTTCCATGAAGGAGTGCAAGGAAATGTGTATTCAAGGTATTGAGCTGTAGATAATCTGGTTGGGAACATATGACCAAGTAAAGTCCTCTACTTACTTGGCTACTGTACGTTCTTCCTGCATGTACATTTATTTGGTATAGACCCCCCCCCATATGAAGAGTTTGCGCAAGAAATATCTGTCATTCAGTAGGGCAATAACTGTTTGGTGCGAACTTTTTTTTGTTTTTTTGTTTTTTTGTTTTTTTTCAGGAAATCACTTCCGAGATTCTTACGGTTTTTCGACTGTAGACCAAATCAACATGCAGACTTGGTCTAGGACCTTCGCAGCTTGTGAAAACTTGATTGTAAGTGGCAAGTGCTTCTCTTAGTGAAACAAGTGCGATTTGCAAATTTTTTCTCACCCAAATTGCACAACCACGAAGTTGATTTGACAGAGTGCATCTGTGAGTAGATTGTACGGTGTTCTGACTCATTAATAGAACGAAGACTTTTCCAACAGACGGGTATATTATATAGCCAAGATTCCGTTCTTGAACAGATTGGCAGCTGTAAACTCAAACATGGGCAACATGGTTGTGACTTATGGAGCATATCCAACATTGGGCAAAGTGACCACTGCATTCTGCCTGTAGCTTCGTCTGGTACTTAAATTGCAGACCTAGAACTCAAATCAAAAGCAGAGTTGGCTCTTTTTTTTTCACAGAGCTACTGCCTTGGTATAGAGTCCTGAGGATCATCACTGTGAAAAAGGACGAGGGTTGTGTAAGAACAACTTGTCGATACTTACCTCATGAGATATCAGATTGTTAGTAGATACTCTGGAATCAGTTGACATTGACAGCATCTTAGGATGCTACTCGGGAATGGTATTAACGAGCTTCCGTATTTATCTTGGTGATATCATACATCAGCGAACGTTCAGGCATGCTCTCAAGGTAGACGATGGGAAATTTGATTCAGCCTGCAATATAGAGAGGGATTGATGAAGGATGTGATGGCGGAAGGAGAGAAAGTCGCGGGGGAATCTGAGAAGCGCCCTTCGCTGTTCTCTCAGACAACAGAGGAAGAAGCAAGAATTGCCGTTGAGGCGGCAGCTGCTGTGAGACCTCGTCCTTCTATAGTTGTTTCAGCGAAGAATCAGCAAAGTTCTACCAGCTTTCTTAAACTCAAGAGGAGCTTTCAAAAAGCTATTAAATGGCCTAATAATCACAAAGATAGAACTCAGAGGAATCTGTTCAATCCAGAGGTGCTCACTCGTCAAAAGAGACAATGGAGTGAGTTACAATTGCAAGCATTGGTGAGTTCTGAATGCTCTTCAATGGTGAGGTCGCTCTTTCGATCTTACATGTACCTTTTAGGTTGAGAAGTCATTTTGGATAAATCGGAGCAGAGCGAATTATTCTTTGTTGATGACTAGACAGCAGTTCTGTTGCTGGCAGTGGTTAAATGTCACTTTTGAAGTAGACTTCAGTTGTGTTTTTGCCATTCTGTTTGAATCTTGTAGTTTCGTGCATACCCTTCCAATGAGATTGTGAAAGGAATGGTCTAATACTTGTTTTTGTGATTGAACTCTGTAAATTATTGATACTTGTTTAAGTGTATGTCATTCAAATGGTGTTTGGTGATTTTTACATTTGCAGGAAAGAAGGCATCAAAAGAAGGAATCTACGTCTTTCTTTGAGCATTTTGTAGTAGTCGGCTTGAGACCGCATTCTGATGTTCGAGCAATAGAGGCTGCGTTTGCTAGGAAAAAGTCATGGCAGCGAAATCCAGGAAAAGCAAGTTTAGAGTTCGTCAATCAAAAAGCTCCTACACTTGAACCGGAGGTTGTAGCAACTATGACATGTTGGAAACACACTTTAACATGTCTTCCTGAATATGTTTGGCTTTGACATACTAGCGTTGATGCTGAAACATCTCCCAGCATTAACGTAGTCTGCAATGATGATGTCTCTCAAATTTAGCCGGTCATTGACTGGGACGAAAGAGCTTCCAATAAATTTTGGTATCATATTCATTTATTTACGGTGTTTCTCTTTCAGGTCTTGTTTAAATATCCCCTTAGCAAGAGGCTTCCTTTGAAGAGCAGTGAGCTGCCCCACTTTTGCTTTCCTTCAGGAATTGAGGTGCGTACGTTACAGACTTCAAATGTCCATCACCCATGATGTTGCACTATTCCCGCCTGGATTGTTGGTTGCGTTACTGTACTGTGCTGTTATACGTTTGTTATATCTTGGTACAGTAGAAAAAAGGTTGATCCTCAGTTATTAAGTTTTGCAACGGGTGGTTGTGCGGAATACAGGCTCGAGTTTTGGAGCGGACTCCATCTATGAGTGAACTTAATGAGATTATGTATGGGCAGGTATGTAAAAAAATTGAAATTATAGACTATCCTTCTCAAAATAGTTGATTCATGATTTTATTTTTAGTCAGCAGCAAGGCTGAAATCTACGGAGTTTCTGGTCCTAGTTTTTGAATTATTTTTATCTGGTATTCTTAATGGACAAAGTCGAGCCTGTAATAGTTGTGATCTGATCCAGTAATAGTCTATTTTTGGATCCTAGCCGGAATTGATTATAAAGGTAAGCTATGCTGACAGGTTGAAATTCTTTTTCCGAAGTGAAATTGATTTAGTCTTATGTCCCATTTATTTTCCAGATTCATCAGAATCGAGACGATCATTCATTTGTTTTCCTTCTTAAGGTTAGCAGTAAATGTGCCTTCTCTCAGCTTCATGCCTTGGTTCTGTTGTTGTTGAAGTTCTTTTGACGGTCGTAGCTTGCTTGCGTCTTACTTTACCAGATGTTTCCATTAGAAATTAGGTTGGATTATGCGGACTGTTTTCTTCCTTTCTAATTAAGTTAATCTGTGCTTACCAGGTCGCAGATAACGCTACTTTGTATGGAGTGTGTGTATATGTTCCGGAAATGGTACAGAGGGCTCCAGCATTTTTCTCTATGAGTGCCGAGTTATCCCCGCAGCGGTCACCTCGTGGGCGTTTCTTAATTTCTGCCCCGCGTTGTTACTGCTTCCTCACTAACCTTCCTTACTTCGATCTACATTTTGAAGTGTTGAACAGGTAAATTCATGGTCAGCATCATAGTTCATACAGGACTTCCCTCTTGTAAAAACGTTAGAAGGGACTGTTTGAAGTACTTGGAGTTCTGGATATCCTTGTGGTGTTGATAAACATGCCTGCAGCTATGTAGGAATCACGCCATGCAGTTGGCATCCATTTGACCTTTTCGTTGATCTGACATTGACACTAGTCTTTTGTATTTTTTTTGTTTCGTTGTTTCAAAACTGATAATCCCGCTTACATTGTTATTGTTTGTTTTGCTTCATAGCATTATTGCACAAGAGCGACTGGATCGCATTACGGAGTGTGTTAATGAAATGAGTCTCGTAGAAGTGCCACCCATGGTGAAAGTGAGTAGTAAGAACCACGCTCGACAAAGTTCTCCTTCTGATGACCCTGACGGATGGATGGAGAGTGCGATACCTGTAGATAGTGTCTTTGGCGCCACGGCTGCTGCAGCAGGTCTAATTTCTGCCAGTGAGATGGACTCATTCGCATCCAGAGGTTCTGGTCACATGTCTCCTGACAGGACTTCAGAATGTGCATCATCGGAGTCTTTCTCTCCTCAAGCAGAACTTCAAGAGAGTGGACGTGCTGCGGATGCTGATAGTCTAGTGCTGGATTCTGGTCTGGACCTGGAAAATGGATTTAGAGGAGACATGGAGGTAACGTTTGCATGGCATTTTAAAAAACATTGGTGTTTTTCTTCCTCTTCGTGGAGAAGGGGATGAGGTTTAGGTTTGTAATTTTGATCCTGGCTTGGCCTTACTAGCTTGCAGCATGTGATACAATTTTGTAATTCTGCAGGTACACCCAGAAGAAATCTTAGAAAATACTGCAAAGCTTTCAAATGGTGATATGAAAACACCGCCTCCAAACGGAAAGTTAGAAAGCTTAGTGGATATGGGGTCCAACTCAAGTCTTGGCACCATACCACCTCGGTCTAGTAGAGGGCATGAGCGTGTTGACAGCTCTGAGTCAGCGTACAGGTATTTGTATTACGGATTCTGCCAGACTTCTTGCAAGTTTTAACATATGTCTCTACGGGAGGCGCAACAGCTTCATGAAATGTACGGGAGGCGAGAAGGATACTACTGATTTGATTTGGTCGTATATCTATTGCAGCTATGGTTTAAACGCTGACTCTCTGCGAAGTAATGATTCTGACGATGAATATGACGACGACGCCTCGGCTTCTGGACAGGAAGACATTTTCGGAGGTGAAGCAGTTCTTGCTTGGGCTGAGGTATGTGTATTTTATGGTTACTTTGGTTTACTCGTGAAATTTAAACGACCTTCGAGAGGAAGCCTAAATAGTCGCTTAATCTCGAATTGTATAATAACTAAATGAACAAACCAGCTAAACAATCATTAAAAGTAAAATAATCGTAAATATTATTTAGGACACACGCATACACACATGTATATGAGTTTGGATTTTGCTTTCGATTTGTAAAGGCTTTTAAAAGAAGATAAGTTTATCGGTTTAGGATGCATTTATCTCGATTTGATAACTGTCAAAATCTGTGTGTCAGGCCCATAAAAACGATTCCTTGCGCGTGGTTGTCGCTTATCATCGGCTTCTTGTTCCTGCGCGTGGCGAGACAGTTCAGTTTCAACCTCTAGAACACTTGTCACCAATATCTTTCACCAGAGGGGGCAAGGCAATTCCCAGCTTAGTGAATGAAGTGGTGGACTTGAAGGCTTGCAAAAGCAACTTGGAACTTGTAGAGGTTATCAGTTGCTACTTTACTATGTGTTGCAATATAGGGATGTGCAAGTGTTGTACGATCCTCATTATTCAGCCTTCATCTTATTCTATTTTCCAGAACAATAATTTGTGGTGACAACAAAAGTCCTAGTATTAAGTCTGTCTCATTTTAGCCGAAAAATATGCTGTACTTCTTGATGTGAATTTTGAGGTTTTGAGCTCTTCTAATAAGTATTTTGATGTCGTAAACAAAAAATTTCTTGACTTAAGTCTAACTTTCACATTCATAATCAGGTATTCAGAAACGTTTGTCAAACTTGTAGTCGCCTTCTGTCAGCTAGCAGCATGTTCATAGATGCAATTGAAGTTACTTTGGATGTTCTTTCATTGAATTTATTTCCGTCTGTACAAAAGGTCATGTTGTTGAAGGATGTGTTCTTGACTTCAGGCCCGAGCAGCAGCAATGGCTGCAGAAGAATCTGAAGAACTAGCTGTATGGTCAATCGCTGTAATTTGTAGAGAACTTTCTCTTCAGAATGTAAGGAGACTGTCTTACTCTTCCGTCATTAACTTTATGTGCTTGCTTTAACCGTTCTCTCAACTGTAAAGACTTTTCTAGGAGGTCGCGAGCATGCGAGAAGTTTATTTTTATTTTTATTTTTATGTATTTATTTATTTATTTCATATTACATTTGTGGATAATATGCCAGGTGCTGGCCATGTTTGCGTGTGCCTTGTTGGAGAAGCAAATGATGGTCATGTGCCCCAATCTGGTTAGTACAATTTATTCCCGTTTTGAGTTATTGTTGAGATCAGCAATGTCTGTTTCATGCCAAGGGGTATGGTTAGTAGAGCGGGTTACCGTGCCACCTGGGTTCAAGCTGTGAGGACAACCTTACTTCGTGGCGCACCAGTGTTCTATTTCGAATGTTTGGGAGAATTCGTAAACTAGCAATGTCATTTAATGTTGGTGACTGAAGATTAACCTTGTATGTCTTTCGCATCTATTTTCATGGCAGGGGGTCTTGTCAGCGGTGGTATTGGCGATGAAGCCTATGATTCGACCATATGAATGGCAGAGTCTACTTCTTCCTGTGAGTGAATTGTTGTCACCGAATATCTTACGGGTTGAGTACTTAAGAACAGATTTGGTGTCCTGTATTCTAGATCTTGTCTCCATTACTCCTTGAACCCCCCCACAGATGTGGTTTACTGAGGAGTGATATTTGAGCCAGGGGTTGGTGTTACAATAGTTTTATTGGTAACTATGTAGCCCGTCATACACGTCGATACTTTCTTCTTTTTTTTTAAGTTAGATATACTGTTGGGGCATGCTGGAGAATAAAAGTAGGAGAGAACTCCTTCTTGCTAGAGCATTCTCGTCTGAAAAATTCTATTCGTCATCTCAAAATTTTGATCTTGGTTAAAGTTCCTTTTGCATATATCGTTGTCCTCATCAGATCCTTCCAAACAATATGCTGGATTTTCTGGATGCTCCAGTACCCTTCATTGTAAGGATTCTGCTCTCTTGCTTATGTTTTTATTCAATTTCATGATTTGAAGTAGGAATCTCTGGTGCATCTAGTCTACAGTAGACACATTTTGCTGAATGAACACATTGGCTCTTTTCTGCTCTAGTTTACGTGCAGTGCTTGTGGCTGATCTTTCTGACATTCTTAATGCCGAGTTATGAGCACTGAATGAGTGTGCTAGTTGAAGATTCATGTGTAGGTGGATATGTTACGAGAGATAAATCTCATATCCTTGTTGCAGGTTGGCGTACAGCACAAGACCTCGGAACTGCAATCGAAGGTGTCACATCTTGTTCGTGTTAATGTGTCAAAGAACAAGGTGGCTTTCAAGAATAACTTGCTACCGTGAATTGTTTTTCTGGTGGTCGGTGTTCTTTTTGTCATTTTTTCCACGCTAAGTTGGTCTTAGTCCACTCTTGTTCTTGCGTTCCTTTCAGATTATAATAAGTGCTACTATCACATAATATTTTCTTGAAGGTAGACGGTTTTAGACAGTTTTTATGATTTTTCAGGTATCAATGTCTTCAAGCCCGCCCCTTCCTGAGTACAATAAACTGGTGTCTGAGTTAGAACCATTCCACTCACAACTAGCGTCAGAGAGTGCCTCAGCCAGAAGGCATCCAGTTCATCATACCAATGAAGCTCAGGTCTGCGCTCAATTTTTGCCTACTAACATGTTGATCATTCTAATCCTACAATGTCTTAAATCTTAAATTGATCGTAGTTATGCGTTTTACATGTGGGCAATTTAAAGAAGCCAATCAGTATCTGGCTACCTGTATTTTCATTTAATGGGCAGGAACGTACGAAGTTAATTCTAGCTGCTGATGTTGAATATGCTTTCCCAGACTAAGGCAGTGGAGGGGTTTCTTCAAGTATTACGAAAGTACTGTACAGAATCACTGTGCAAGAATTTGCGCGCTCACACTATTACTAACGTGCAATCTAATAACGATAAGGTAAAGTTTTCAATACTAGTTTCTCTTCATGCATTATTAACGAATGGTCGAGACATGCTAATCTATTACACTTTATCCTTCCTTAAACGTTTATCCGTGTGTAAAACAATTCATGATCATTCTGTTTAATTATTATTCTCAGCTTCTGTATTGGTTATTAGTTGTTTTATGAGAATGCTTCAGCACATTGCACAGCATCAAGGGGAGCTGTTCAATTTCACACGAGTATTTCACGCATTGTACCTTTATAGTTACTCTCTTCAACATTGTTAGTATCCCCTTCATCACGATGATTGAAGAAAGGAAATGAATATTACACTGCTACATAATGTTACTATTTAAAGCATGCTTTAATTCATGAAGGTGAAAGTGGAATATTTTAATGCGAAGTTGGAGTCCATCTCTGTAGTGTGTAAATGATGTCTTTCGTGACGTGGACAGGTTTCTTTGTTGCTGAAGGACAGTTTCATTGACTCATTTCCTTCACGTGAGCAAGCATTTATCAAGGTATTTGAATAAACAATGTATAGTTAATGTTTTACAGCCGATTTAAATAGTTTCACACTGCTTGACTTACAGCAGCTTCACCCCAAGTGCACTCATTTTCATCAGTGCTATCTGGGGAATCGTCATGGTTCACTCACAATATCCGGCTTGGTTGCAGTTTTTTGCAGATACACAATTATTTTCTGTATACACCGATGCCGTGCTGTCAAGCTTCCAGAATAGTTGATACTATTGTATACTAGCGCTTCTTCTTTCGCAGATCAGACATCGGAAAACTACTTATCACAAGAGGGGTTAGGCTATTTCCTTTTGACCTGCATAGGTATCTGTGTTAAGGAACGGCTGCGAATCTCAAATTGAGTGGCATAATTCATCCGTCAAGAGGTCGTGAGGATTTAATTAGTCTGAGAGAATGAAGTTGGAGGTGAAAAGCCCTGCTTCACAGCACGGCACTATTAATATCAGATTCTTGGTCATTCAGGAGTAGATCTTGAGACGCTGTGGAAATGCTTTTGTAGATAGAATGAGTGCAGTTGTGTCCATGTTTCTGCACTCTTTGGCATGCTAGTCTTACAGTTAACTCTTCGATGGCAAGCAATCTGGCTAACCGGATTAGTATCTGGTATTGTTTGGTTGCAACTGAAACCACTCTCGACTTCAATCTGTATGTCCTCTGGGAATTGACTCATTCGCATCATTGACAAGGCTAGTAAGCAAGTTGACTGCACTTGATTCACATATGTGAAGAGTTGCACTTGATTCGTATTTGTGAAGGGTAGATGAACCCAGCACATGAACACACCAGTTCCATCTACTCGGGGATTAAAAACTGCAATTTACGTTCTGTGTGTGATTGTACCTCCATGTGTTTCTAGTAGATTTCCTTCAATTCGAGGCATTCTGAGAACTTGGAATGGAAGGGAGGAGACGAGAGGTCGAATGCTAAGTGTGAATAATTTAGCAACTGAATAGTTGTCAGGGTTTGAGTTTAGCGGTTGTTGGTTACAAAATACCCTCCACATCACCCCACCAACCTTTCCACTTGTTCAATATTGCCGAATTTGCAATATTTATAAAAATGATTTTTTTGCAGTGTGCTGCGCTGCCCCAGTGTTGCAAACAGGCGTTGGGTTGGGTAGAACCTAGACTAGTACTTTAGGTGGATAAAATTTCATGGTGAAACCCCAATTTGGGGGTTGTTTTTATTGAAGCCCATTCAAATAATTATTGAGTGGGATTAAAAAAAAAAACTAATTGATGGATATCAAAGTCAATAGGAAATATTCAAGCATCAACATCATGCTTGAATTAATATTTTAGAATTCATAGTGTAAACAAGGATAAAATGTTAATTTTAATTATTTTTGCCTAAACTATTATTTACACAAACAGAATCAGAACTATAAAAAATAGACCACCTCAAAGTTTGGAATATTTATGTTAAAAACTTATGAGATAGTCTTATATTTCAAAATTTTAAATTCTAAACAATAAAATTCTAAAACTCAAATTTTAAGTTCTAAATTTTAAATTATAAAATTTAAATCTTAAAAAAATTAAAAATTAAAAATATAAGTTATTATTTTAATTTTAAAAATCTTACAACCAAAATCTCAATTCACACAAAATGATTATTAATACAATAAAATAGGTGCCATTGTAATAGATATTGTTGCAAAGTGATTTTGACATTTATCTTTATGCAATAATTATTTATTTTTAAATAAATAAATAAATAAATAAATAAAAAATATATATTTATATATAATGGTAAGCTAATATAATGTATATAAAAAATTACATCTGACTAAATAAATATATTATAATATTTATCATATAAAATAAAAAAATAATATTTCTAACTTCAAATATTGATATTAATCTCATAAATTATCTTTATTAAAAAAAATTGATGACTTGATCCAACTCAATTTTTTCAAGGTAATTCATATTTAAATTCAGAATTCTACTCTATTTCAAGTCTAATTTTTAAAGACTAAACTTTAAATTCTAACATACTTTTATTCAAAATTTTAATTTTAAAAAATAATATTATATCAAACTCTAATTATAATATAAAATGAAATTAAAACCACATAAATAATTTATTTTAGTAAGATTTTAATTCCAATTCGTAATTTTAATATAATTTTGAGTCAAACTCAAGTTTAAATTGAAAAGCCAAATCCGACGTGACATAAAATTAACTCTTATTTAATTTTAGATTAAGCAAGACTTAAAATAAAAATGTAGCAATATAGAAGTACATGTACAAAAAGAAGAGACTAATTTTTTTTTACAAGTATAGGACAATACAAGCTATTGTTAGTAAGGCAAGACTAGAAAAGATTTTGTGTACTTAGAACAAATCATGTTAAGAACATTAATAAGACAATTTTGTTGTCTTTATTCAAAAGGCAATTATTGTAAGGATATTGCAAAGGAAAGAGTTGTAGCATTACAAGATAAGTTTTACAGTTTGATGATTACAATATGATAAACATCTATTTAATCAATGCACAAGTTAAATTTCAATGATGTCTGCTATCAAACAATGGATAATATAGCAATTAGAAAACAAACACATGCTTAGTGTAAGAGAAAAGACTATTGTAAATTGGAGCATGGTATAAACAATCCTATAATATAATTTCAAATGTGTCATTATAATATATAAATACTTTGTTGAAGAAAAAGATAAAAAAAAATCAATAAATTTTAAAAATATGATCTATGAGTAATCTAACTTTGTTAAGACCAATAGTAGAAAGAAAAAAATATATGAAAAAGTCATATTTTAAAAAAGAAAAAAAAACAATCAAACAAACAATCATGAATTAAAATTATTCTAATCAGTACTTTAAATCATAGTAAAATAGAATAAAACTTAAGTTACAATATTTCTTTACAATTTTTATCAATATCTGGTTATTTATTCTCTATAATTTTCCAAAGAATAATGCATATTTGTATGTATATATATATATATATATATATTATATTATTCACAATAATAATCATAATAAATAATGAACACACTTTATTATATCAGTTTAAGTTAAATATATGTATCTTAAAAGTAAATTCATTAAGTTCCTTAAAATTATTCTCTTAGATAAGAGTTTTAAGATAAGATAAACTTATAGTATGATGTTTTGTTTTGTTTTGTTTTTATTTTTTATTTTTTTTTCTATTAAGACTGTTAATACAAATTTATTAAAAAAATCGTAGTAAATTTTCTACCTTGATTTGTTAAGTATTTGATTTTGATTAATTAATTAACTTATCAATAAGATGTTTATCTTAATTTTTATATATTTATAATGAAGTAAATATGAATGATAAGTAAATGTAGGAGAATGAATAACCTTTTTTGTAAATAGTTATGAGTGGTTAAAAACTACATAAAGATAAAATGTAGTAGATGATATAGTGGATTAGATTGTATGGTAGATAAGAGTGTTGAATTTTGGAGTATGGACAAAAGAACATCTTGATTTGGAAGGTAGATTTAAAGTGTGGAATAAGGACAAAAGACGGCCTTATTGTAGCAAGTAGAGTTATTGGCTTTTCATATTGATAGGTCAAACCAAATAGAACTATTGGTAGATAAAAGACATCTTATATACACTAATTACAAGATCATAGATTTACTAATGTAGGATCTTACAGGAACCAATTGTAAGGCTTATTAGGTTGTATCCTATACCTATAAGTAATAAGTTGCAAAAGTGAGAGACATCTTATTCTATATACTCTCTTATATTTGCATCATTTTATTTTGGTAGAATTTATGCTTCTAGCTTATTTGTTCTTTAATAATTTAGATATAATTTAATTAATTTTATTTATGAATGTATTTTCAAAAAGAATCACAAGAATGCATATAAATTCATTTAAATTTAAGGTAAAAAACCCCCATCAAAAAACCTATTTTTTAAATTTTTTTAATAAAATTTGAATTAGAATTATAAATAAGTATTACTTAAATACACACCTGCTACAAATTTAATTTTGAACCTGAAAAAGGTTTTTTTTTTTTTTTTTTTTTTTTTTTTTTTTTCTTTCTTTTAAACAGATAGTTATGAGTATATAAATAATTAATATATATATATATATATATATATTTAATATATTTTAATATTTTAAAGTATCTACATTAAATTTTATTTGAATTATAAATAAATTACTTTATATTAGATTTTAAATTATGTTATTTATTTGAAAAATATATAACTTAATTTTAAGGGTTCCTACCCAAAAATGTATAAAAATTAGTGATTTAAAGAAATACTTTAGAAATAAATTTTTTTAAATTAATGAAATAAAGGATATTTTTATCAAAATCAAAATTTACTTTTTTATAATTAAATATTTTATATTTATTAATAAAATAAAATTTCATAATAATAAAAAATAAAAATATATAAATTATTTTAATAAAAAATAGATATTTATTTTATATTTTTTTTAGTTTTAAATTAAGAAAATTTACATTTAAGAATTATTTGTAATTTATTAAATATTTTTAACATAAATATTGTTCTTAATCTTGAATATTTTAAGAATTTTTAAATAATGGAATATATATATATATATAAATAATTTATAAATAATTTATACTGAAATTAAAATAATTAAATAATAATACGATTTAGTATAAGATTCAAATAGAAAAAACAATTGAAATAGGCTAAAATTTTTGTTTAAAAAATTGACATGTTTTCTCTACAATAAATATTAAAGAAACAAGATATAAGAAATATTGATACTTAGCATTAATGAGGTTGTACACAAAAAAAGCATAGAGTAAGAAAATTCTGATTTTCAATACTCTTTACTTTTAAGATGGAAATTATATTTGATAAAAATGAACTTTATTCACAATCATCCTCATCCTAAATTACTTTGTTTAATCAAATCTTTGTTTTTTCTTAACATAGTTGCCACCTTAATAACTTATTTTAAGCCTTTATTATTTTTTGATTAATTCTATCTAAATAAGGCTAAATTCTTAGTGGTAATTCAACAAAGATTTATTGATCCTCAATCCTTTATTTTGCTATTAGTCAAAATCTTTCAATAAATATGTGGTATCTATTCTTTATTAATGTTTTTATTAGCACATCAAAAAATATTTTACTTATAGTACAACACTTTATAATTATAAGTCTATATGAAATCTTTTTTCTTATAAAACAATATTAGACATCAATATGCTTGATTCTTAAATAAAAGATATTTTTGATTGTCTGACATTATTGAAGTTGATTCCAATTGCACAAAAATTCAATAACTTATGATAGCTCTTTTATCCAAAATACTTCTATTACACAATAGATTCTCACTATATATTCAATTTCTATAATTAATCTTATAATTGATGATTATTTTTTGCAAATTTATGAAATAATTCCTATTTCAATAAAGAATTCATATTCTTTTATAGAGCTTCTATCATTTTTTTCTAGCTCAAACAACATTACAATAATCTCATAAATCAATTTTCTTACTAATTATACATAATTTAAGGTCTGTTGTGTCTTGTAAATACTTAATGAACTTCTTAATTCTTTTTCAATGTAAATTTTTAGTCTTAAACTTATTTTGAATCATAACACTCACAACAAATACAAGATCTATTCTTTTGACTACTATTGCATATATTAGTAACCATACTACTAAATTATATAGAATATATCAC